CAGGCTTAGTGAATTAGGCTACATTTTTATCGTTAAGTTCCATTCAATAAGTATAGCGAAATGTATTCTTTCTTTCTGTTTGAGCATATTATGTAGCCCAGTGAGACTAATCATAGATAAAAGTTTCTTTATTTGAGATTAATAACCTGCTTAAAACTTCAAAGATTTGTTTTAACATATTCTGTAAAACCTACGAAAGCATTTTCTGAAATTCTAAAAGATTTTGCATGGTCGTTTCGTTTAAAGTTCGATTGTACTGAAATTATAAAAGTAAAAAAATCGTGTTTTTCTTTCTAACTTTTTAAATGAAATAATTGCTTATTTTTTAGTTATTAATTTATAAATAATGAAGTAAATACAGGGCTTAGTTAGAGATAATACAAAATTAAAATACTCACAAAATCCCAACCATTATGATCCCGTGCTCGTTTTGTTCTTCTGCAAGATTTGAGATAAGTTCTTATTCGTTTCCGAGCTCGGTCGGAGAATTCCGGAAACTGCCGAGAGCACGAATCAATAATAGCCTGTATCTTATCCTTTGGTTGACGGGAGATTGGTACCATCCGATCTAGATTTTCGTCGATGAACAACCGAACAAACATCTAAAAATATTGATAAAACACGAATAATATATCATAAAATACACGAAACTTAGAAAACAGAAGTTTCGAAAAAAATGATAAATTTTGATCATGATTTCGGACAAATGGCTTTCATCTGAACCTAATGATTTTAAATAAACAGAAATATGTCTAAACACCTCTTTCTCCGGTTCACGTGGAAGTCAGTTTCTGTAAGTCCCCCCCCCCCCCTGAAAAAGTTAACTAATGATCATATGATTCTAACAAATGGGTAATTGAGAATAAACAAACAAAACATTCTACACAATATGAATGGCAAACCAATCTGGCTGCTGTTAATAATAAGTATGATGTAACGTACTTTAACCTAATAGTTGTATTAATACATCCGTAAGGCCTTGATTTTAAAAGCTAGTTTGTTAACTTTCACGATGAGCTTTAAATAATTCTTGAAGTAATCAACAATTAAAAATAAGTAGTAATGACTATGTGTTGGCAGTAGTGGAAAAGGGTTGTATAATCTGTATTAGTTCACACATCTATTCCTATTTACATTAAAAGCCTTCAGTCGTTCAGGGTCGTATGCATTTACGTCAATTCTGTCTGTGTCATCTTCTTCGTCATCGTCTTCGTCTTCCTTTATGCCGTCGAGAGTTGCCGAAGTTTCGATGTTGGGACTCTGAAAGAAGTGGCAGTGAACAGTAATGATAAATGTATGAAATAATAACTTTTCTGATGAAGACGTCCTGAAACTAGAAAATATTTCTATAAGTGTACACACATTATATCAGTTTGTTTATCTATAATTAAAAATAAGGGTTAAGAAAAACTACAGTAGTAGTGTTAGAAAATAGGTAATTGATTTTCACATTATTTTTTCAAGATAAAACAATAATCAGTCTTATATAAGCTGCACGTTAGATTAAAATGATCAGAGTTATTTTTATTTTTTTTACAGCGACTATTTTTCGTGATCTTTTACTTTTCAAGTTACCTTTCAGCTTTCAGTTTTACCTCAATAATTTTTTTCTTCAAAACTACCCCTGACAGTTATCAATCCTTTCATGTTGTCTTGGTTACTTTTCCTATTTTCTAGTCACTATGGTTACTTTAAAATATTCAAGTCACGTAGATTCATAGTGATAAGTATTGAAATCCTGAAAGATAAATACTATTAAGTAATAAAATCCTGAGAGATAAATACTATTAAGTAATAAAATCCTGTGAGACAATACTGCTACGTAATAAAATCCTGAAAGATACATACTTCTAAGTACTGAAAACCTGAAAGATACACATGTTGCAAAGGTTTATTACATTGACTAGCCTAACAATAGCCAACAGCTTGTTGCCCTATGAAACGATTTATCCATTAAGCAGAAGCACGCTTTAAAAGCAGGTGCTATCTATTTTTATTAAATTTCGTAAAATCATTTAGTCAACTTTATATGGTGATGGTTTAACCAGCATTAAAAGAAACTTTAAATCCTCTATGATTAAGTACACAAAAATCTCGATTCTGTAACTCACTGTCCAATAATGTAGAGGACGACACTGATCAGAGCTGTTGATGTCCGCGGTTTTGATCATGTTGATTGGTTCTTCCTCGGAACATTTAACTTCACCGTTTTCTCTTTTTAACGCACTCATATCAAGAGGTGTGTCTTTTGGGGAAGTTCCAGTTTCTTCGTTAGGGATCTCTTCATTTGTACTTTCTTTTCTGTCTTCATCTTCTCGTAAAATATGATGAGCTTTGTTATTAAAGGAGTCATTAAACTGATAAGCTTTTATATATGTATATATTTAGAGAAAGGGAATAGAATTGATGCAATTGTAAATTAACCAACTGCGTTACATTTTCTGAAATCATATTTACCTGTAAAACTTTTATTTTTAATTTAAATGTCCTAGAAAAGAACACTTTCTTGTTTTACTGGCCAACCACGAAGATTGAACTTTCTCCACAACTGACGGACAAAACATATTATGGAAATTGTTTCACCAGTAACAGTATTGCCATAGGCAGTCCCCCAGTGGCACAGCGGCATATCTGCGGACTTCCAACGCTAGAAACCGGGTTTCGATACCCGTGGTGGGCAGAGCACAGATAGCCCATTGTGTAGATTTGTGCTTAACTTCAAAACAAACAAACAATTGTCATAGGATATTTTTGTATAAAATAACATATATATTACCACACTTTTTATTATTTTCGCATGTATCGAATTTTGTGTAGCAATGCCTCTGCAAATTTTCTAAGTTTACGGTAGATTTCTACTTTACATCACGTTAGTAATATGAAAGTCATCGTTAAACGGACTCGGTCGTAAGATTGTTGGTTATTGTTATGATTTGTCATGAATGTTAAAAGATGATAACGCTTAAGGACGTGTTAGTTATCTTACCAAAATAAATATTATTCCTATTAAAGTGTAAACATCTGTTGTTATTGTTTTTTACATATTTCAAAGTGTTCATATCTTCTATTTTGTGATACAAGTGTAAAACATTCAAAGAGTAACCATTGAACAAATATACTTTATTTTTATTGCTTGCTCAATTGAGTCAGTTGCATGGTTACACATAAGAAATTACATTATACAATGAAAATGAGACACTTTTATAGTTATGAAATCAATTATGTTTGACATATTGCTTACTGAGTGACTTATAATGCCTACACTGGAGTATCGTTAGCGAGATATCATTCAGCTGTTCAGTAGAAATACAGATATGTCATTTGAAATGTGGCCCTAAATGGAAAAGGTGCATATGAGAACTAAGGAAATACCTTGAAAGAGAAAAAAAATCGTGCCAAAAGTGGACCATTTGTATCAAATTCCATTTACAATACTAGTAATCGAAACACCATACACCTTGTAATTACCTTCAAGGTGAAGCAAAATTTATAGAAGTGAATCAAGTATTGCGCTTCCTGCACATTCCAGTCCTGAAGAATCCCTGAGCAAACTACACTGCACAAGCTTTCAACGTTTAAGACTTACCACTGAGCCATTAAGAGACAATCCATTCTTGCTGGAGCTTCATGCTCCACAAGTCGCCTGGAGAGAAAGTAGTCTGTATCTAACACGTGGCAGGTGATAGATGCAAATATCATTCCAACTGAAACAGAATGGATGTGATTGGAGAGTACACATGAAGCAGCAAACAAAGATCAGGTGGAATAGATTTTGATAGATCTGAAAGACTAGCTGCTGGTGAATACTTTGAGTTGGACTGATCAAATCTGTGTTTCATGATCTGTCTTCCAGGATTCCATCTTTAAAGAATAGCCATGTAAGATCTGGGCGAACCTATTTGGCTATTTTTGTTAAACTTCTAATGGATTATCCAATAGAATTCTCTCTACATTTCTGGGTTTGGAGGGTACGAGCATGGCCTAGTGGTTAATGTGCACAAACTGTGGATCTCTGGGTTCATGGTTCAGGGCTACAGCTGCAAAAATGTGCTTTGCACTTTAGGCCGTTGATACAACATATAAATGACGGTCAAATCCTAATATTCAGTTAGAAAAGAATAGCCAAGAGTTGGCGATTGGCGCTTTTTATCAGCTTTTCCTCTAATCTGTGAATTCAACATTAAGGACGGTTATGCACAGACAACTCTAGCTGTAGCTTTGTGCGAATTTTCTAAAAACAAACAGACAAATCTGTGTTTGGAAACATATCTTAAGTGTAAAGAAAGGAAAATACTCAGATTTTTCTACTTTGATGGATACTTTTTACCCCTGTATCGTGGATTTAGACAATACAAAGTGGTATCAGTAACTAAAATACTTCTGTCCAAAAAAGAGTTATGCTGACGATATTGTTGTCCAAAGAATGATGTAGCCGATGGCTTGGTGTCTATTAGCTGTGGAAGGCGGCATCATATACACAGGGTCATCTTCATGAGGAAAGAGCGAATGATGTGTGGGCCAGTAGTAAAAGTGGAGTTCGTCTCTGTGCAAATATTCTGTCCTGCCATGCTTTAAGTAAGGTATACTCTCTCTGGATTGAGACGACAGAACGACCCACCTATATCATTCTGGCGTAATAGTGGGTTTTTGTGCACATCCATACACACACACACACACAGGCCAAATAATGTGGTTCCTGAGACTCTAATGACACAACGAACACAGGTTCATAAGATCAACGTCTATACTTGACGGTGTTCAGGATGCAGCGACAATAACCATTGCCACTTCTGATAAACAAGACAGTCACTGAAGGTAGAATTTGCCCCCCCCCCCAGTGGCACAGTGAAATGTCTACGGACTTACAACGCTAGAAACCAGTTTCGATACCCATTGTGGGCAGAGCACAGATAGCCCATTATGCACCTTTGTTCCTAAATTACAAAAACAAAACCAAACGAAGGTGGAATTTGGACGTTTAGTCCATACAATATGTAAAATAATATATTTCTATGTGTGAGTTATGGCCAACATTAAGGGCGATTCTTTGGTTATTTTCGAAGTTTTCATTATATAATAAAATAAGGTGACCATAAATAGAGAATTGGCTAAAAACTCCCATCTTATAGATCCTTGCCCTTGTAGATGAATGTGTAAATAATAAACATAAAATTTAACTATATGTGTTTGTTATTAAAGTGAAGTCATTAACATTCCTTCAGCACTAAGATTTAAGCTTTAGTAGCCGTAAAAAAAGAATTACATTCAAAAACGTATGATTACATTATTATTTGAAATACATTACAGATTAACTATAACTTCAATTTAAATGACCGATTTGTTAAAAAATAATCGTGCATCATTTAAATCAACATTAAAATGAGTAAATCCGCAAAGTAATAAGCAATAAATCATACTATGTTTTTGTCAGTTGTTTGTTGCTACTATAATAAGTGGTGTTTTTTTTTAAATTTTACCTCCGTTAGCTTCAATCATTGTAGAATAATTTCCCCCGTCTGTAGTAGAGAGCGCTGCTGTTTCGTTCTCGCTGCTCTCGCTCTCAGTGTTTGAAGTAATTTCCTGAAAATACACACGAACAAAAACCATCATGATATATATACACATATATAATATTTTCGGGACATTTTTACAAACTGACTATTATAAAGTTATACAAAAATGAAAATGTCATAGGCTTAAGCTGTCATCTAACTGGCTTACACGAAATACTACCAAAAACACCATAAAAAATAATGGTTTTCAAACGACACCCAAAACTCGAGCGCTTTCGAATAGTTTACTATTCTTCTTCAGAAGAATAAAGTAAAAAAATAGTTACATTCAGTACTTGTAGGGGGCAGTGTTATTAACTGCGCAAGCTTTGTTTTCCAAGAATAGGTGGTTTGAAAGTGCAAGAGCTGCGAAAACCTTTAAAAGTTAATTAATTACAGGTAGAAATCAATTCTGTTATTCAGAGGAGAGTCCAGTCGTTGCCTCATCTCGCAAATGACCACCAACAGGCAAGTAGCAGAACCAGCAAAATGTATAGATTTTACCTGACTCTTAGAAAGAGTATATATATAAGATTAATGAAATAGTTACTCCCTCAAACAAGCAATGGTTTATAACAAGAATTTCAGATTTCTTATTCATTTATGAAGGGAACGAATGAATTGAATGAAAAGATGGTCCCAGCCTTTTATAATACACATTATTGGATGAACTGATGTGTTTTTCTGATGTTAATAGACGATCCACGCCTTATATAATAAACATTATTAGATGAACTGATGTATTTTTCTGATGTTAGTAGACGATCCACGCCTTTTATAATACACATTATTAGATGAAATAGTGTGTTTTACTGAAAAATTAACATTAGTTAAACACACCAGTTCATCTAATATTGTGGGTTATAAAAGGCTGGGACCATCTATTAACATTAATAAAATACACCAGTTCATCTAATAATGTGTTTTATAACAGACATGAACTTATCTAATAACACTTTCAGTAAAGCACTCCGGTTCATTTAAATATGTTTTATAAAAGGTGCAAACTCAATAAAGCACTCCAGTTTTCAGTTAATTACGTTATAAGAGGTATGAGCTCATCTAATAGCCCCCCAGTGGCACAGCGGTATGTCTGCGGACTTACAACGCTAGAATCCGGGTTTCGATACCCGTGGTGGCCAGAGCACAGATAGCCCATTGTGTAGCTTTGTGCTTAATTACAAACAAACAAAATCATCTAATAATATTTTCATTACAGCATTCGAATGTTAAGATCCGGAATTCGATTCCCCTAGTGGACTGAGTGTAGATAATTCATTGTGTAGCTCTGCACTAGGATAACAACAACAATAAAGCACTCCAGATTCATCTAATAACGTGTTTTATAAAAAAATACAAACTTATAAGATTTTCATTAAAGAGCACTAATCATCAAATAATGTGTTTACTGAAATTTCTCTGATTTTGACTTAAATTACTCTCCAGGAATGGTTTAGTTATTTATTAATAGGCATGATTAACGTTATCATACTATGGATGACCCCCCCCCCCTAGAAAAAAAAAGATAACGATTTCCGTTGCAAAAAAGACAGGAACTCAGATATGCCAACGCTCTTATTGTCATTACTCCTGTGCTGGAAACTGGCTTCGACACAGAAAGGATAAATTTTTATTAAATAAAATGAAACGTCAAACAGTATATCTAATCGTACTTTTCATAGGACATTTTAGTACATATTAAATATGCTCTGACGTTTACTTATAATATGTATGATATAAAAAAATGCAATTTAGGTTTACGTTGAAGTATTCCCAACATATATGTATATACCCCCAAAAAAAGACATTATTATACTTGGCAATGCGCATTTTCTCTCTAATTACATACTTCTTTAAACTAGGTGTACACGCGTGTTCTTAAACGATTCTGTGAAGAGAGAAACTTCTGTGGCATTCTCTACCTAGCTTCCAATTTGGTCGAGCATAATCATGTGGATGAACGAAACCTGGTCCTTCCAACCCTGGAGAGCTAGTGATAGAATTCCTTATCAGGAAGAGGAAGGTAAAAGTGTTGGAAAGAGGATGTGGTTTGGCCAGATTTACTCTGGAACTTCATGGCCATTAGAACATTTTTTTTTGAGGAAAGAAAGAATGACTGATGTAAAAAAAACGAAAATAGAAATAGGATTTCTTTAAAAATTCACTAACTAAGATCTTAAATGTATATCATTAAAGTCGAAATGTGTAAAAAATAGTATTTTACAGAACAATTATAGTTTGTATGTTTGTTTGTTATGCAAAGCTACACGAGGGCTATCTGCGCTAGTCGTCCCTAATTTAGCGGTGTAAGACTAGAGGGAAGGCAGCTAGTCATCACCACCCACCTCCAACTCTTAGGCTACTCTTTTACCAACGAATAGTGGGATTGACCGTCACATTATAACGCTCCCACGGCTGAAAGGGCGAGCATGTTTGGTGTGACGGGGAGCATGTATAACAAGATGAACATAGAAACAAACATATAAGTAGATAACTAATTGAATAGGTGCATTTAACCTTGGCGCAGCCGTATTGGATGACCTCTGACAAACTAAATACTCCAAACACTTCAAATATTATTATTTGACTAATAACTTACCATTAAGGATATTATTAATGAAGCCAACTTCATATCTTCTAGCGGTCTAACAAATCGTACTAGGAAAATCACATATGATAATGACACTACGGTTTTTACCAATTAGTCAAAGTCAAACAATCTTCTACTTTCATGTCACTCTCAACCTTTAAAACTATCCCTTTTGGACTAAAAGGAGAATCGTCCAACTGGAACGTTTTTTTTCTATTTTAACCAGATTAACGATGTTTATCCCTAACTTTTTTTTTTCATTTACATAACCTAATATTGGCATAGTTATACATTTATCGAAAGGTAGGCTTAACTTCCTATTTACTTAACTTAAGCTTAAATTGTCTTGTGTACAATTCTACCATCGAGGTGTAATGTCTTTGAATGGATTTTTATCCAAGAGTTACTTTCAATATTATTTATAAGCCATAATACAATTCAGTAGTTGAAAGTTGTTTTGGTGTATAACAGTATATAATTTACTAGGTTATCAACATCAGAAGTTCGGAAAGAGCTGAATAATCTACATACTTGTTATTAATTCCGAGGATTTTATTAACATGTAGAAATAACTCTTAACCCTAATTTTCCATGTACTATCGTGAAATTAACCGGGTGGCTATGCAGTTAAACTTAATGTATTAAAACATTGGGTTTTAAATAGTTATTTCGTTGAAGCTAGAAGTTGAAATCGCTACAACTTAGAATAGTAATATATTGTTTAAGACATTAATTAACTCATGAATATGTGTTATATATAAACAAAATAATCAACGATACTATTGTGTATCTTCATTAAAATCTATACAATCTATTAGAATAACAGTTGACCAGGTATCAGACCATAAGTCAGTTATATTGAGCTCTCAATTGTATTTCCTACACAAAATTATCTAAGCAAACGATTTTTGAATACTGACTAAGAACAAACGTATTCGGCACGTAATCTTTGGAATTTCTCTTAACGTCTAGAAAATGTAGCAAACAGGTATATATATATATGTGTGTGTGTGTGTGTGTGTCAAAGTAGCTCAATCCCTCAAAATGATGGTATGGAACTGGTAGGAATTTAATAGTAAAGTAGAACAGTGTTCAATATTAGTTAATTAGTAACTGAATTTATTTCATTTATATTCGTGTTATAGGTTCCTCACATTACTTATGATTTGTTTTCAAGCAAATATTAATGTTTTATGGTTAACTAGTGTTGCTTTTGAGCAGCTATTCAATAACTTACGAATATGATAATTGAAATTCAAGCTCGTATGAGTTGCTTTTAATTAAATAATAATTTAATTAAACAAATAACTTAAAATGATCCTGAGCAACTCATGAATATAACTTGTAGCTTGTGTTGTTGTCAGTAGTAACTTGAAATGCTCATGTTAACCAATGTTATGGCTTCAAAATCAACTCGTATCTCCATATTTAGTCATATTACGTTGGTCTTAGGCTAAAGTTCTTTCTTATACTTTGTAATCACATCAGGATGAAGATTGTCTATGAAGTTCCTTACTCGAAAGTTTAATTGAAAAAAATGAATGGACGGAAAGAAGAGGAAGAAACGTTATTTTATGACATTTAGAGTGAAAAACATTCTCATCAAAAAGAATATATTGGATGAGGTTGATGTTTCTGGAGAAACGAACGTAGGAAGGGGAATTCCACTGATAACACTCCTTATGATGATAGTTCTAAAGGAAGTAGTAGCTTTATTGAAGACGACGAATCTCAACATGAGAAAAGTAATGGAAGAGTAGCTACACGTATTTACAGGTCCTAGTTAATGATGTTAGAACATAAGCAAACACAAAATAAACAAGTTGTTATCTGAGGCAAATATAATAAGCGCAGCTAAACGATTGGTATATGAAATTTTTTGACAAGTATTACAGAAATTTTTAAGATAATACCCCACAAAAATCATATTCTATTAACATATTAGACAAAACCTCATTGATAAGTCCGTCACACAAGCAAAACGAAAAATAATGGGTAAAAATGAATCTGGTGAACTAGAAACTGTTTAAAGCAGCTGTGAAGAAGGAAAACTAAAGATTTGTTTAATCGGTTATTATATTTATTAAGTAATAAATAGAGTAAAAATACAAATACTCGTGTGTATTTCCTAAAACATACTAATTTAAGTGTGTGTGTATGTGCGTGTGTGTAAACATGTTGGCATTGTTTGAATTGTTTGATGCCACCGAAAAGTTTATGGCTTTTAGGAAGAGTATATAACAATCCTTTCTGACTCAACATATTCATGCACTCAGATCAAAAAGATGTTTTCAGATCGGGGATATCCTTTCTATTTAATGTCATTGGAAAATAAAGGAAGATAGATAAAATCGGGGCACCAGGACCATCCATAAAGAGACATGAGACAAGTCGTACCTCATCTGTGATAAGCAAAATCTTGTAACAGATGAAAATCC